TTTGTAGGAGATAACTTTTCATTAAGTTACACAAACATTTGAAGATTGACTGGGTGGTTGATCCTGAGGAAGGAGATCTTAGGGTATTAGAAGGATATAGACAGATTGGTTAGATGGCAGATGGAAGTTAATCCTGACAAGTGTGAGGTGATGCACTTCGGAAGAAGTAACAAGACAAGGGGATACACTCATTGAATGGCAGGACCCTAAGAAACACAGGAACAGAGGAATCTTGGGATGCTTGAAGGTGGCATAAGGGACACTTGCCTTTTTTGTTTGTTGCATAAATTATATGAGCAGAGACGTTCTGTTGGGAGCTATATGAATCTTTGGTTAGACCACAGCTGAAGTACCATGTGCAATTGTGGTCACTGCACTATCGAAAGGATGTGATTACACTGAACAGGGTGCAGAGAAGATTCATCAGGATGTTGACTGGGTTGCAGCATTTTAGCAATGAAAAGAAAGAAGCTGTTATCCTAACTTGAACAGTCAATAACAAGGGGACATAATTTTAAGGTGAAGGGCAGGAGGTTTAGAGGGATGTGTGGACATTTTCTTTCACCCAAAGGGTGGTGGGAATCTGGAGTGCACTGCCTGGGAGGATTGTTGAGGCAGGAAACCTCAACTTTTAAAGTAATTTTGGATGAGCAGATGAAACATCATAATATTCAAGGTTATGGGGTCAATATTGGAAACTGGGGCTTGTGTAGATTTACAGTAGTTTTTCAGTGCAGACTTGATGGGCCAAAGGCATCTTCTATACTGTATGATTCTACGATTGATCACATAAATCACAACATTTCTTTGGTTAAAAACTAATGTAGACCTTTAAGCCCTTCACCAAAGGAACATGGTACTCGAAGTCACAGTGTCCTATGACAGGGGTCAGTGCCAAATGAACAAGCAAAGATCAGTTGAAGATGGGGAAAATTACTGCAACGGACTTGCATCCCTTAATCCAAAGGTAAAATTTCACCTTGATCGATCTAGTATCTGATTAATAAGAGCTTTAAAGGATCAGAACGAACAGGGTACACTGTCTAATACTATGTGAGACAATTAACATCTATTCAGCAAAAGCTCATTAGATCCAAGTTATACCGTCATGCTTAAATTTGACTTTTGAGGTCAACTCTTAACTGCGTACACTTTCAATGTTGACCTGTCAATATACACCTGCCTGTATGGACTTCTGTGTTTCAAAGAAAATATAACAGTTCCTTCAGCACACAACTTGCCACTTACACAAGCTCCGAAAACCAGAGTTACACAGCAATTTACAAATCCAAATTCTTCTGATGTCCTTAGCTACCCAACGTTCAATTCCTCACATCAAAGAATAAACTGTAGCAGATCAGAATAACGAGTGACAAGGACTGAGAAAATCAGCAGCCCTCTTACCTAGACACCTTCAGTAATGAAGTTAAGACCAAACATGTCTCTTCAAAAAGAAACAGAAGCAACAACTGTAGAACATGAGCTTTGAAGAACTATTTATTTCTATTCTTCTAGCTATTCCTGTACTCTCATGCTGGGTTATTCAATAGTGAGAAAACTACAAACTTAAGCCAACATACATCTGCAGACAATTTCCAGTGATGTTCACTGGATAATTAGAAATGGGATCCCAGACGAATCTTTCCCTTTTTAGCCCGGAGACATCTAGGCCATTACGTTTCTGCCACTAACATTAGCTAATTGAGCACAGACCAGCGATAGATACAACAGATTGATAAATATGCATATACACACACTACCGCAAATGAATTCAGCTTTTCTTTTGTTTTGCAGTGGCATTATATCATGTTACAAATCTCAAGTTGTCCTTTGAAAGCAGACAAAATATGGAAGCAATTAAACTATTTCTACACTTTTCTTGGCATTTTGTCACTTGCATATATAAAAAAAGGTTATAAATATTTATTACCTACTCTCTCACACTTATTTTCATTCTCTGCTTTCTTTCTCTTTAGACACTTCTGGTTTACAGCTTGCAGTGAGACAAAGGCACTGTTCTCTCACTGCCAGCTATAATCAGAAGAAATAAATAATCTAAACAACTTAATTTTGGCAGCAAGACAGAAACATATTTGAAATGGTCTCAAGGTGCTGCCAAATACACCAGCTCCACTTCTCATTCACCAAACACAGGCTTTAGTTAAACCACTAACATGACGATGTCTGTAGTATCAAAGGAAGATGATCAAAATACTGAGATTGAAAGAGTGGCCTGTAATAATATTAGGTTGCGTGCACACGTAAAGGGAGCTCAGTGCACCCAAATGCTGGCTTGTATCAGGTGGGGAATTAACAGAGAGCAGTGTCAGGAGACTGCTTCACTGTCTTGGAACCACACCAGAAGGGGAAAAGAGTTCTGTACTTAATTTTCACAAATGCAAGCTTGCATATTTTCACAAAGAATTTCAAACCACCGGAAGCTCCCTGTTTTAAAAATAGGCCCCAAAATGGGAAAACGTTTCTGTATCTGTTTTTAACACTGGCATTCTTCGAGAATATCAGCATCTCCATACGGATGCAGGAACTGCACTGGTCTCAAAGGTTTAGAAGAGATTAGAACACTTGATTGAAATACAGCCTTAAAACCATTTTTATGCATCCATTAACGCAAAGAAAACTGACTGGCAATCTTCTAAGGATGAGCTACAAGGGTTCTCCTTCCTCACAAGCTAACCTCCAGGAGGAGATCTATATATTCAAAAGCTCTACATCTAGCACATGCCCATTGTGTCATTTCTTCCAAATGTGTTGCGTGTCTGTGGGACACAAATGACTGCTTGGCTGAAATAGGGACTCAGCAATTGTCCACCAGATGGGATGTGAGCCAAAAGAAACATAATGGATCCATCCAGCTAGTATCGATGTTAACAGCAGAAAACAGTACAAGCGACTTACCCATTTCTTTTATAAAAGAAATACAGTTGCAAATGACAGGATGGCAATTCAAGTTACTTTAAAAATGCCATAAACTTGTGTGAGGACATTTTAAATGCGTCTCCAGATGAAAATTAGCCTTTAAACAAATATTTGAATGAAATGCATATTCTAATTCAGAGTTAACTCTTGAAGATGCCCACTTGTGTGTCAGGAACAGAACACTCAGTTCACTGGCCTTGGCTCATTGATTGGACCTTATTAACCATTTCAGTTTCAATGCCTTGGTTTCTACCAATACAGTACAGTTTTGGTTCCATCCACCAATGATGTAAGTGATCAATCGTAGAATCATACTGTGCAGAAGAGGTCCTCTGATCTATCGAGCCTGCATTGAATAAACTACTCAAAATCCACACAGCCGTATGTTCCAACACTGTTGCCCATAGCTTTGAATGTATGTTTCAAGGGCTCATCCAAGCGCATCTTAAAGGTTATGAAGGTTACAATGACCGAGCTACCCATACACATTATAGCAGTTACACGTGATCCACTTTCCATGGTTCCTTCAACAAGCCTGATCTTCCTCAAACCTGTCGGACTCCAACCCTGTTCCAACACATCCAGAGATGTTCACAAATGCTTATTAGTCCACCTGTTCACAGTGGAAGAGATGAACTCTGCCAATCAACGTCAAAACTACTGGTCAAGAGAAACTTGGGCAGGAACAAATTAGATCTGATCAAGGTTGATGAAATTGCAAACAGATGTGAGCATTTAGAATTTGCCTGAAAAAACTCTGGATTGTGAAAAGATATTTGTGAAAGTTTCCCACTTGCATGGCTCATGAGCCCATCAACCAGCTTGTTTATTTACTCTCAACTGGTTGTCAGCCAGGAGCTCACTTAGCCATTTTAATATCTGTTGGTTGGTTTGTTCTCTTGCTTGTCTGAAAGAAGCGTTCCCTTATCAACTTATCAGCCTACCCGATTCAAGTGCACTCTATCAGGCATGTTAACCTATTTGTTTGTGTGTACAAGCGATTCCTAGTCCTGCCCACATAGTTGCATTTTCAGGGTGAAGCACCTGTCATCCACCCAAAATGTAACAACTTGAAGCAAAAGGTGGAGGAGATAAAGAAAGAACAAACGTAGAGAATAAAAACAAGGAAATAAGAGAAGGGGACAACTGAAAGATAGTGTGACAAAATAGGAGGGCAACAGAAAGAGAGGGTGACCTTTTTCTGGTTTATAAAATCATGAGCGGCACAGATAAGGTGAATGACAAGGGTCTTTTCCCTACGGTGGGGAGTTCAAAACTAGGGTGCATATTTTTAAGGTAATCAAAGAAAGTTTTAAAAAGGACAAGGGGTGACTTTTTTGAAAAAACAGAGTGGTTCATGTGTGGAATGAACTGCCAGACAAAGCAGTGGATGCATGTAAAAGACATTTGGAAAAGTTTGGACAGAAGGGTCTGTTTCCATGTTGTATGACTGTGACTCTACAACTGAACAAGAGCATATAAGCGGCAGACGAGATAGAAGAAAAGGTGGAAACATGACAACTGGATGACAAACAAGTAAAAAGCAGGCAAATCCTGGGTTAGAACTCAAGATTTTGTTTTAACTAAATTAGTAGTATTCCCTGAATATCCACTGAACCTGCCAAGAGATATTTTCGTGACACTTGAATTATTTTCAGGCCCCTCTGTTGCATTCATCCCATTTCCTTCTAAAAATATTATCACAAACTATTAAGATGCACCTTCTCTGCCTTACTGGTTACTTCCTGAACCTTCTGCTTCTCAATACCAGTCCTGCTGCACTCCAGCAAGTCACCGCCAGTGTTCTGATCCTATGTCTGATCAGAGGAACCGTAGACAAAGAATGGTAAATACCAGCTATATCTTTTTCAAAAACGTCCGAAAGGTTGCTCAATAGTTGAATCCAGTACGACACCAACATGACAAACAACCAAACTATCCATTAGCAGCCCTGTTCTCCCCTCCAAGTCGATTTGTAGCTATTGATTTTGACATGACTAAATAAGGAATTTCAAGCATTGAAGATTACAAAAGAGCACTAATGGAAAAATATGGTTTTATACCTGTCGGCCATCTTGTCCCACATTGGTCTGTCCTCTCACTACAGTTCGAATGTCATCATCCAACCTCCTATCAAAATAAAACACAAGATAAAAGAGCATCCATACAATGTTATTAGCAAGCAAGTGATTTTGAGTAGGGCAACACTTCCAACATGCTCTATATTTACAGTGTACAGTATAATTTGTTGGCAAAGTGCTGAAATGTTGCACAAAAAACCTGAAAGAATACTAGTTTCTTAATAGATGACTGGGAACAAATCACTTGCCTGCACTGTTTATAATAAACCTCAATAATACAACTGGACGAAGACTCATGTTTCAGATATACATCATCAAACTATGTGCACAATTTTTGTCAGTTTCAGCTCATTTCATGGCATTTAAAAGTTTCCATTTTCTAATCAGTCGAGTTTTGGAATTTCAGGTTATTGGATATTTTCATTGCTAGTAAAAGAAACGTTACAGAGTGAGATTAAGCAAATTCAAATGGATAATCTTCATGGAAAAATAATAAATGACAAATCATTCAGGTAAAGGTAAAATTCAGGTAAAAATTTCAGGTAAAATTTCTTAAAAACGTAAAAGGGAGGCAGAAAGTGACCATTCAGAAATCTAGACTGTAACCTACAAGGAGGCAATATATCGATAATTACATATAAAACTTCAAGGACTCTGACATCAGCTCAAACACAAGATTTGATTAGGTGTCAAGCAATGTTGGACATTTTGTGCTCATGAAAGGCATTTTATAAACAGAACTACTTCTGGTTGTGTCAGCCCAATTAAATGTTGTTCACACTAAAAGAATTTCAAATAGCTCATCTTCAAAAGGTTAAAAACTCTCAAATCAAGGGCGAGTTAGCTTTTTATTTCAATCCAATTTAGATTGTTTATTATACAGAAGGGTTTTCAGAGAAAGCACTCCCCAAAACAGTCCTGAAGTATGCACGCACACATGAATTTTGAGTGATAGCAGTGTTGGGGAATTAAACCCTTTCTTGATTTTGTCACCCAGTGTTACCATTAACTAGTCACAGTCAACTGCAGTACCACAATTAGGTTCCATTTTCTTCCATTTCAATAACATTTTGGACCCCTAGTTTTGAAATAGATGTCCTTCATTCAACTTTTCTGTTTCCTACTCCAGTCATCACTTAGTCTCAGAGTAAGGCTGCCAACTGGTGGTAAATTATGGATAATGGAATACAGTGGGTCAATGCCCTTAGGGACTTTGGTTGAGAAGGGCCAATCTCATTACAAAGTAGACCCATGCAGCCAACAGAAAGATACTCACAGCCCTCCGGAACCACCCCCCCGGCCAACCTCTACCTTCCGACTCCACCTCCTCTCCCAACCCTACCTCCTGTCGTGTATTTACTATACTTCTGACATTCCACTCTCTGATGTTGATTGTTCTGTTCTCAGCAAAGGTCTCAGTTTTATTCTTCTGCACCCTCATCTTAATGAATTTCGGGCACAAATTGACATTGAACTCTTCTTCCATTGTCTTCACCTCTGTGCCCATTTCTTTGGCATGAGTACTCCGTCCGTCCCACAGATCCCTTCGCCCAGTTCCAACACTCTCTCTTCACCTAGACCCCTCCCTCTGGCCTTTTACCTGCAATTGACCTGTTCAGAGAGATCTTCAACGTGACATTGGTTGCCTCAATTTCTCTGAACCCCTCACCTATTCCAGCTTGTCTCCCTGTGTACTGTCTGCACTTTGTGCTCTCAGATCCAATCCTGACTTTGTAATTAAGCCTGCTAACAAGGGTAGTACTGTTGTCATCTGGTGAACTGACTTCAACATTGCAAAGGCTGAGCAGCAACTCTCAGATACCTCCTCCTATATCTCCCTGAACCATTACCCCATGGAACGTCAGGCCATTGTGTCAACTATGGTCACCAACCTCATTTCACCTGGTGATCTCCTCTCCACTGCCTCTAAAATCATAGTCTCCCAATCCTGCACAGCTCGTTTTACCTCCTTTCCAAAATCCACAAACAGGACTGCCCAGGCAGACCTATTGTTTCTGCCTGCTCCTGCCCCACAGAACTCATCTCTTTCTACCTCGACTTGATTTTTCCTTCCCTTGTCCAATCTCTTCCCATAACATCTGCAATTCCTCTGAATTTCCAGTTTGCGAGTTCCAGCCACTGCCTCTTTGTCAAGGACGTGCAATCCCTTTACACATCCATTTGCCATTAGGATAGTCTCGGGGCTCTCCGCTTCTTCCTGGAAGAAAGGCCTGAACCGTTCCCATCCACTACCACTCTTCTCCACCTGACAGTGAACAACTTCTCTTAACGCCTCTCATTTTCTTCAGGTCAAAGGGGTGGCCGTGGGGAACATAGAACGTTATCTGTTCCTATTCCGGTTCCCACCCACAACTCTTTCTCCAGTATATCAATGATATCATCGGTGCTGCTTCCTTCTCTCATACGGAATTGGAAAAGTTTATCAATTTCACTTCCAATTTCCAACCTGCTCTCACCGTCACCTGGTCCACCTCTAAATCCTCCCTTCCCTTCCTCTACATCTCTCCTTCCATTTCTGAGAATGGACTGGCCGATAATATCCACTATAAACCCATCGACTCCCACAGTTGCCTTGACTATACATCCTCACACCCTGCTTCCTGCAAATACACTATTCATTTCTCCTAGCTCCTCCAACTCCTTCACAACTGTTCTGATGATGCCAACTTTGACAAGGCAGCCTCCAAAACGTCCGCCTTCTTCCTGAATCGAGGATTGCCCAGCACCATAGTTGAGAGGGCCCTCAGTTGGGTCTGACCCATCTCCTGCACCAGCCCTCAACTCCTCTCTTCCCTCCCTCCCTCCCAAAACATCAATACGGTCTCTCTTGTCCTCACCTACCATCCCACCAACATCCACATCTGGAGGATTATTAGCTGCTATTTCCACCACCTCCAGCAGGATGCTACCACCAGACACATATTCCCCTCCCCCTCCCGTCAGCCTTCCGCAAGGACCATTCTCTCTGGGACACCCTGGTCCTCTCCACCTTCACTCCCAACATCCCCTCTCAGTCTCCACAGCACCTTCCCCTGCAACCGCAGAAAGTTTAACACCTGCCCATTTACCTCCTCTCTCCTTAGTATCCAAGGGCCCAAATACACCTTCCAGGTAAAGGGCACTTTGTGTGAAATACAGATAATCTAGTTTACTGCATTTACTGCTCACAATGTGGTCTCCTCTACACTGGGGAAACGAAGCATAGACTGGGTGACCACTTTGTGGAACATCTTCGTTTTGTTCACAAAAAAGACCGAGCTTCCAGTTACCTGCCACTTCAGCACACCACCTTGCTCCCTGGCCAACATCTGTCTCAGGGTTGCTGCAATGCTCCAGTGAAGCTCAGCGCAAGCTAGAAGGCAGCACTTCATTTTCCGCTTGGGAACTCTACAGCCTTCTGGACTCAATATCGAGTTCACCAATACTAGGGCTTGAGGCAAATTCTCCCATGTCCTTACCCCAACCTCCATACATCAGGCCTTGTAACCACATGGTCTGCTATTACACACAACCCATTGTTATCCACTAATAGTCCCCATTAATAGCGATTAATTCTCCTAGCTGACCCTTATCGACTCCTTTGTCTGTCCAACTGTTTTTCTCTCTCTTTGGGTTCTATCTGCACCTATCATTTACTCCTTAGTCCTCCCCAAACCCTATCTTCTGCTTAAAAACCAACTTTTTCCTAGCTACCATCAGTTTTGGGAACACCACCACCTCGAAGTTCCCCTCCAGGTCACTCACCATCCCGACTTGGAAATATATTCCCATTTCTTCACTGTCGCTGGGTCAAAATCCCAGAATTCTCTCCCTAATAGCATTCTGGGTCACCCCATAGCAGCAGTTCAAGAAGGCAGCTGACCACCACCTTTTCAAGGGCAACTAGGGATGGACAAAAAATGCTGGCCAGCCAGCAATGCCCACATCCCACAAATGAATAGAGAGAAAAGAAAAGTTCTGAAGGGTCAACAGATCTGAAACATGAACTCTGATTTCTCTCCACAGATGCTGCCAGACCTGCTGAGCATTTCCAGCAATTTCTGATTTTGTTTCTGATTTCCAGCATCCATGGTGCTTTCGGTTTTTAAAAGAGAATTGTGCCCCACCAGTGACAGATGAACTATAGCAACAGATCAAAGGATTGTGTGGTAACATACTTCCCCAGTCACAACATTTACATATATAGCTTGGTGTTAGTTCTAAGTGATTTATGTTAGAAGATAACTGAAAAAAAAGGAAGCACTTGTATCCTAAAGATTTTTTTGCAGAGGTGGAATGCAGTTCTGTACAGCCAACAGTGTGTAGGTGGAAACAGGATACCGGTGGAAAGACTACATCCTCCCTTATGAAGCTAGAAGATAAGGCAAAAGAATTGATGGTGGCTTGATAGCAAAAGGCAACCTAATCCTCCAGGACTTGGTTTATAAATCATATGTCTTGAGCTTAAATTCAGTTTGAATGTCAATTAGCTGCAACTCAATATTGTTTTCACATGAATACAGAGACTGCTATAGGCGTTCCATACCTCAAACACAACTTTTTTTAAATCCCAATCACAGATACAAATTTAATGCAAGCTCGTGAAATAAGGGCAAAAAATTGAAGATTTATCCACAAAATAGTTTCACAGTGAAGGCAAAGAAACTGACAACTAGAAGTAATTTTTAAATGCATACTGGAATAAATGAAAACCAAAAACAGCTGGTTATTGGATAAGGGAAGCCTTTTTTGATAATTATATCACTGGCACTGAAGGCAATTTCTGAAATTTTTGGACCTTTTGCATCAGTAACACTAGAAACAAAGACTGACATTTTTGACTTGTATCCCTTTATTCCTAAATCTTTTGATTAGTGAGCTTTCTTGCTGTAGTGATATCCAAATATCAGCTTCTTTCAGGAAGTATTTTAAAATCCTACATGCAGGACTTGGAGGGGGAGGGGACGACAGAGGAACTAAAAGGGGCAGGAATACGAGGCACAACAGCTAATTACAATACTATTAAATTAAAATCATCTAAATATTACA